ACATACTTCTAGGGAGGGGGTCAGTTTGGCTCTGATTGGGTTTGCCTCTGTAGCACAATCTTTTCATGCATTGCTCCACGTTGTTATGTTGCCCTCAAGGTTTGGTGCACCTTTATATAAAGAGTAATTGTACATTAAGGAAACATCCCAGCCCAGTCCAAATCAGGTCCTTAAGTCTGAAATTAGTCCATATGTCTGATACCAATCTTAAAGTCTTCATCGGACTCACAAAACACAGGCAATGATGCTGAATGCAGGAAGATCACAGACCAGTGAGTAAGATGTCTTGTGGATCCAGTGGTGGTGTAAGCATATCAGTGCTGGCAAGGGTCACCAATTAGCTCCTCCAGCTCAGGACACTAGCATAACTCTACGTGTCTTGTCAGCTGCAATGTCTCCCTGGGAGTGATCCTTGTCAGTAGCACATCTCCAAGGGAGTGAGACTGTGTCCCACCTCCAAGGAGCTATTTATTTTCTTAGTGCCTCAAAATAAACTCATTGAGCTGCAAAGTCAATCCCTTAATTTTTAAGTCTGAAATTTGCAATAGATTATGTAACTACCACACTTAATGATTCAGCAATCTCTCTACTGGGTTTATATAAACTGAAGAAATCAAAAGAATAACATGAACAGATATAAGTACATTTGTGTTTATTGCAGCAATATTCACAATAGCAAAACCAATGGGGGTGGGGACCAAAACACCAATTATAGAAATAGATAAACAACCTCTGGTACATTCATACTATGGAATTTTATACATCAAGCCCACTACGCTGAAGCCAGCCACTGGGGACGTGCAGCAGAGCAGCAGGGGGAGCAGAATAATGTAGTTTCCAGGGAAGGCCAGGGATAGATGTGGGGCCAGGGCATGGCACACCATCAGACTCGACTGGAAAGCATTCGTAAAGGACAATAAATAGACCTTGAGTTATTTATAGGATTTTGTTGTTGTTGTTGTTGTAGTTGTTATAGTTATTGTTTTATTTTCTATTGTTGCTTCATTTTACTTGGTCTTGTGATGGTGCATATTGTTGTCACTGCATGTCACCTGGAAGGGATAGGCGGGATAAACAAGCCAGAAGGAAGGGAGAACAAAGGATGACAGTTCCTGAAGGACATGGGAGAGGGGAAAGCGGGGGAAAGGATGTGGGTGTTAACAAACCCAGGGACAAGGGAACAACAAGTGATCCAAAATCAGTGGCAAGGAGGGTGTAGGAGGTCTGGCAGGGCTGGATCAAGGGCAATGTAACCGAGAGGAATTCCTGAAACCCAGATGAAGGCTGAATATGACAGTGTGACAACAGGAAAGTACAAAGAAATAGAGGAAAGACCTAGGAGGCAAAGGGCA